TAAGTTTCTGTCCGGGTTTCTTACTGTCAGCTTAGGTTTTGGTAGTGACAGGCAGAAGAGAAAGGCGGCCCACGAAATTCGTCTTCTTGCAAAATCGAATATTTATAACCGAACGTGCTTAATTGAGTCGGGTGCCATTTTTCCTCTTCTTGAGCTGCTCGATTCTGATGATCCAGCAATGCAAGAGATCGCGATATCCGGCTTGCTAAAGCTGTCGAAGCAGCCGAAGGGGGCAAAATCGATAATCGAAAATGGCGGGTTTAGTTCAGTTCTCGAAGTGCTGAAAAACGGGCTGACACCCGAATCCAAGCAAACTGCAGCCGCCACTATATTCTACCTCTCGTCATCTCACGAGAATCGTAAGCTGATTGGAGAAAATAAAGAAACTATTCCCAGTTTGTTGGAACTTGTCAGAGAAGGGACTTCTTGCGGAAAGAAAAACTCGGTGGTGGCTATATTCGCACTATTGTTCTACCACAAAAACCGGCAGAGGGCATTATCGGCAAATGCTGTGCCGATTCTAATAAAGCTATTAGAGTTGCCCGAAAGAACCGAGCTTAAAGCTGATACTTTAGCCGTTTTGTCTGCATTGGCCGATAGTGTCGAAGGGTCGTTTGAAATCGTTCGGGCAGATGGTTTAACTTTGACTTTGAGGTTATTGCATTCTATGGAGACACGCGCGGGAAAAGAATACTGTGTCTCGATTTTGCATTCTCTGTGCCTTAACTGTGGGCAGGAAGTTGTGAGTGTCTTGGCTAAGGATGTTTCACTTATGCCGGCTCTTTATTCTCTCTTGACGGATGGGACTTCACACGCTTGTAAGAAATCACGCTCGTTGATCAAGATTTTGCAGAGGTTTTTCGAGACGAGGTCTTTTTGTTTGGTCGGGGAGACGAGGCAAGAAGTAAGAACACGTTGATGCGCGGTGAAAACTTTGTTAAAAAAGGGAACTTTTAAGTATCTTTGTGTAAATATGTTTGTTTAGTACTATGATATATATATACACACGAATGTGGATTGATACGGGAGGCGTTAGGCTCGATTTTTTGTGAGCTGAAGGCCTTCAAATCGCGTGCTAAGTAGTTCGTATTTCGTAGGATTTTACGAATGTATCAAATTTTTGTTGTTGTGATAATACAGTGTGATTCAAGTTGTTGGCTATGTATAAACAGGTTACATTGGATTGTAATGCATGATTCTTTTTGTCATGTACAGATTTGTATTATGTGCAAGATAACTTATGACATTGTTTCTGAAAAAAAAAAGATACAGATACAGTGTTGATGGGGCTATGTTTGGGGTTTATTTATGGTTCAGATTGTTAATAAGTTTGCCAATGTTGGGGGGAAAAGTGATAATTTTGTAGTTCTAAGGGGGAATTTGGAAATTTGGCATAAATTGTTCACACATATAAAACGACGTCGTAAGGCCGCATTCCAGAGTAATCCTGGTTGCTGCGATACAGCGCGTTTTCTATTTCTCTCCGAATAATACCCATAAATTAATTCGAAGTTTTCATCCTCTGCGCGTGCGAAAATACATGTAAGTTGGTTTCTCTTTTGATTCAGATTTTTTTTTTTTTTTCTGTAAAATATGTTCGTAATTGTTCGGGGAGTTTGGTCGAATGGGGGCTAGGGTTTTTAGGGTTGAGCTGAGTTTTTGTTCTGTTCGCTTATGGTATGTGTTTGTCTGTGTGTAAATTTTGTTGGGGTGTTTGGTTTGTTTGTAGTTGCAGACTGAAAATGGCGACAGAACAACCCAAACCCGCTACAGAGGGAGCAAAGGTCGATCTTTTCGAAGACGATGACGAGTTTGAAGAGTTCGAAGTTGATCAAGGTGAACTTTTTTGGTTTTGAAAAATAAAAAATAAAAAAGATGAACATTTATGCAATTTTATATAATTCACCTCGTTCAGGCTCGAGTTTGGCTCAAGCTTGGCTTGTTAATATTAATAATGGGCAGAATTCGAGCTCGATTACCGGCTTGTTAAGCTCGAGTCGGTCTATCAAGAGCTCAAGCTCGTATTGGCTCATTTACATTATGTTGTTTAACCTTAGTTCTTTGGTGATTTATCTGAATAAACTTTTGCATAAAGCTCCCAATTTGTAAATGAACTGCAGAGAAATTATGTTATAGCTCTGCTATCTAAGTTATGTTCGAAAGGTGTATAGTATTTTCCTTTTCGTGCATTTTTACTGATTTTGTTCCTTTCACGACCGTGTGGTTATGCTAGAGTGGGATGATGACAAAGAATTAAAAGAAATTACTCAGCAATGGGAAGATGACTGGGATGATGATGATGTGAATGATGACTTCTCTCTTCAGCTGAGAAGGGAACTCGAAGGCAATACCGAGAAGAAATGAGGCTAAGTTACACAACTTGGTTTTACTTTTAGCTGTATTTGTCATCGAATTTTTATAAGAAAAAAAAAAAAGAAAAAAAGAAAAACCGTAGAATTTTGTCTTCCTGGGGTCTTCTTCGTGCTGGTTCTTTTGTTGGGATCTTTAATAGGTATCTTACTGCCTAACTAGAGGTCTGATATAAGACATGCCTTTCGTTTATGCTTTCAAAGTCTATGCTGGGAATCGTAATATTGATTACTGGATGTTTTAGTTAAGTGATGTTGTTTGCTGCATCATTACCTGTCCAAGGCTCTCATTGTTAGGTTGGGTTATGACTACGAGTTTCGCTATTAAATATGACCCTTATGAGCTTTAAGTCTTTGTTATGTTGCCTCATTTTCTCCTACAGTTGGTCATTCAAATGGGACTATAAATACAACTCTTAACAATAAATTGGTGTCTGGGATTTTAACTCAGATGCCACAGTCGAAATATTACTATCCTTTTGCTGTTTGGCCGAACTTCTACATTTTGTGCATTCAGTTCTTTTCTATTTCTAATATTCTTTGAAATAGTTCGATTTTATCTCTGCCAACCCATGGTTCAATCCTTGTCGAACGAGTTTCATTCAATGACCAGATTGCTTTTTATCATCATTAGTTTACGGACATAGATTGGCTTGAATACATGGGCTCGTTTGTTATTGCTGATGGAATCAAACGATTTCAGGAGGATGAGATGTGATTATATTGTTTAGATACCAACTCATGTATGTGTTTCGACATATTATTGAATTGGACGGTTTTAACCTTCTGATCACACACACCGGCACTTACACACCCTGAGTGTGTTATTCGGACGGTTAAAATCCCATGGGGCACTGGGTGAAATTCACCATCCAAATGGGTGTTTGTTTGGAAACTATAGTGGGAAAATGTAATTGAATCGATTCGACGTCACATAGGCTCGATCCATGATGCCAAACGGTGGATTAATCCAAGACAAATGTCATAATACGAATCTATAAAGCTTAATCACTAGACCTCACGTGATAAAGCTGCAAAACAAGATTGAGTCTTTCAAACAAGATGTAGTAACTGTTGTCTGGTGATTAGAATTATGAAAATGGTTGAATGGCTGCCAACTTTTGTTGTGGATTGAAGGTGGATTGTGTTCTTCTGGTGTGAAGGTTGAATGAATATTGAATAGACCTCACGAAGTTTCGAGAGGGAGAGAAATAAATGTGTATGGTTAGTATTTGTACTTGGTCATTGTATTGATTCAAATGTCTTCAACATTTATTACTGTAATTAATACAAAGTAATATAAATCAAAAGGGTACATTAGAGCATCTCTAATTTTAAAATTCATACTCCCTTCGTTTCAAATTATAAGTCGTTTTGATTTTTTTGATTCATCCATTTTGCTATGTATCTAAACATATTATTATCTAGATACATAGCAAAGTGGATGTATCGAAAAAGTCAAAGCGATTTATAATTTGAAACGGATGGAGTATTAAATTAGTTGTAAATTATAATAGACTCATAGTTGGGCTTAAGTATTAAATGTATGAATGAATAAATAAATAACTTATTCACTCCACTCAAATTTATGTGTGAATTTTTATTATAATACTAATTTATATGTAACTTATTCGCTCCTTCACTCTGGGATATTTAATCACGAGATCTTGTTAGTATACACACGAATAGTATTAGGAAAGAAAAACAAAGCTAATATATTATGGGAAATGCTACGGTTCTTGTTACGAAACTATTCCGTCGGTGTTTGTAATCGTTAGATCATTTATCCTTCGCGGATCTGAAAGTAGTATTAGAAAATTCAAAATTGTGCTGTGTATTAATTAATAATTATAATTGTCCTGGATCTGAACTGAACCGTGATTGCTGAGGCATCTCTATACAAAATTACAAAAAAAAAAAAACAGTAGATTGGGGTACACTTTGAAAAAGCCAGAAGTTTGACTTTCTATCAATTTGAGGGCTGCTTCAACTTGTACAAAGATTTAATTTCATCTGAGGTCATATGAATATCTATGCCCTCACAAAACTTTTGACCTCTTTTTTGTTTAGATTTTGATTTTCATTTTGTATTTTGATGTATATCTCAATGTCAGTTTTAAGTAAAAGGGATAATCACAAGGAAATAAATGAGTTTACAATTTAGGAGAAAAAAGGAAGAGAAAAATCACAGGTGTTTGAAGCTATCTGGGTTTGGTCAACATAATGATTAAAATTAATACAAACCTAGTAAAAAATTAATTTGTAATGTTAGATTTTTTTACTTTTGTATACTCCCATCATATAGAAAAATACAGTACATTTATGATATACAAGATGCTACTGGATAACTGGAAGATTTCACCATTGCAGTCGATGATTTTTTTCAATGCTAAATCAACATACGTAACAGAATCATATAAATACGAGTATTGTCCTAATGATTGCCAGCGACTACTTGATTCACCGATAGAAGTCAAGTCGTGGTTAACGCATGACGTCTTTGGCATTGCGTATCCACGGAATACAACTATCTAAAGGTGTTAGGCTCCGGTCTTTATCTTTGTACCAAAAAAAAAACTGAGTATTGTATAATTTCATATAATACATGGTCAGAAATGTAATTTCGGAAATTAAAATACAATGACCAGTCGAAGGTAGATCCCTGAATTCAGTACTTGCTGACATTAATAATTTCCAACATATTTAATGTTTATTAAAAAGAAAACATATTTAATGTTTATTAAAACCAAAAAAAAAAAC